ATGATTAGTGCAAGAGGATCACGCTCTCTGCAACACGTGCTTTACTGACGAGGCGGATTTTTAATTAAATGGTGTAGTCAATAAGCAAAATCTTCGTTTTAGGGCAAGTGAACATCCTCACATTTTGTACGAAATGGAAAATTATGGAGAAAAGTCAGTGTATAGGAAGCAACCTCAATTTCCTTGGCCACAATGTAGGTTCGACTGTGTTCACATTTACCAAGACTCGTGAATAGGGACTTTACCGGGTTTATCAGTAGGTTGATCTCCGTAGACCACATGGAAAGATGTTCATGGTCACGCTGAAACAGATCACATTCATCTGGTGCGGTGATTAGTCTCCTTACCTTCGCACATGGCGAATGGAGAAGCTGAGGCACATCGTTTATATGGATCAGGAACAAACTGGACCCCGGTGCAGTGCCTTATTGCGCATCACTGCTCGAGGGATACTAGTCGGTCAGATATTTGTCGAACTGGATTTTGCACTTGCGACCAACAAATAAATTCCCGTTCCATCAGTGCAGCCAGCCACCAACACCGCATACCCTCAGCCTGTGGAAGAGCGCTTCACGATTCACATTGCCAATAGCCTTGTTAAAGTCAACTTAAATTACGTCATCCAATTCCCTTGGTTAGGGGCTTGCGATCATTGTTGCATCGCCGAAAGTAGGCTAGTAATGCATGAGCGATCTTTCACGAAACCATGGTATGCGCATGCCAAGAAGCTATTTGAGATGAGAAGCTGCAGAAGAATCTTCTTTACGATCAGCTTAAGCATCTTTACCAAAAGAGCGATCTGGTAGATCGGCCGGTAGCTATGAGTAGCAAAAGGGCGGCTCTGTTCAGACACGACGAAGATGAAAACCAGTTTTACAAGGCTTTAATCTGAGAATCGGAGTATGTGAGCCATAATGCAAAAGATGGTATGTATAGAAACAGGTACAAATACAGCGAGTGCAAAACACACCTACGGCAGTGCGGTCACAATTTTTATCCAAAGCAAGTCACACACTGGACAGATTAGCACTGAATGTCAGCTATTTTGGGCTTGCTTTACACCGTGGAATTGCAAAGCTTTCGTCCCGGGTTGGCAGGGGCCACCCACTGCGCTGTCTCTGGATGCGGATCGAATAAAAGTCTATCAGAAATTCAACCACCTAGGCAGTCGTATCAGCTCCTGTTGGATAAAATAACAGGTCACGAAGCGTATGACATAAGCTCGAGGTGCTTTCACCAACCTTTGCCACTTGTGGCGCTGGTGACATCACTTAAACCCTGAAGCGTGGTGTCTACAATGCTGGCGTTCGTCCAGCTTTATTGCGATTACACAGCCTGGCTGATCAGTTCGATAGATATAAAGAGGCTATTTGTGTCCAGCCGCCATCGTCATCATCATCTATTGTGCCGCAATACAAAAGAAAAGATACATGAAAAATAACGGTGTACCAAATAATGTCAGCTACCAAATAAAAACTCGAAAAAGCGATTTAATAGTTGGTATCATATGGCATATGGCCGCTTAGAGCAGCGGACCTGAAGAGGCTAGATACGTTCGACCACCGGTGCGTTCGTAATTTAGCTCACATTTGGTGGGAACACCGCGTGAGCAACGAGCGTGTTCGACGCCTTGTTTATGGCACAGGAAAAGGAAATGAACCGCTCAGCACCGTTATTTCACGCATCAGGCTCCGATGGCTCGGCCACGTGTTACGCATGCCAGCCCACCGACTTCCGCGACGTGTGTTGTTTGCACGCCGGGGGTGTAGATGGAAGAAGAGGAGGGGTGGCCAAGCGATGACTTGTTCCAGAGGAATGAAGACCCTCACTTCTGAGCTGGCCTCGGTTCGAGCGTCTCGGCTCCCTGGTTGGGGTCCGAAAGACGATGAACACCTTTGGTTGGACACACTTGCTGATATGGCAAGGAGCCGACCTCAATGGCGTTCGTGCTGTGAGTTTCTTTGTCCCACCCCATCCCTCTTAGCCTCCCCCTCCAACCACGATCTCATTACTTTGCCTTATATAATTTTGCATAATAATTTTTTTGGGTGCACAGCAGCCCGCTGGTGGCTTACCGGAACAATGCCCATCCGTTACCGGTAGCTCAGCCAGCTTTCACCAGTTGTTTCTTTTTTCTCCTTTTTTCTTTGTATTGCGGCACAGTAGCTGAGGTGTTCCCCACCTCTAGCTAACATTGATGATGATGATGATGATGATGATGATGATGATGATGATGATGATGATGATGATGATGATGATGATGATGATGATGATGATGATGATGATGATGATGATGATGATGATGATGATGATGATGATGATGATGATGATGATGATGATGATGATGATGATGATGATGATGATGATGATGATGATGATGATGATGATGATGATGATGATGATGATGATGATGATGATGATGATGATGATGATGATGATGATGATGATGATGATGATGATGATGATGATGATGATGATGATGATGATGATGATGATGATGATGATGATGATGATGATGATGATGATGATGATGATGATGATGATGATGATGATGATGATGATGATGATGATGATGATGATGATGATGATGATGATGATGATGATGATGATGATGATGATGATGATGATGATGATGATGATGATGATGATGATGATGATGATGATGATGATGATGATGATGATGATGATGATGATGATGATGATGATGATGATGATGATGAGATGATGATGATGATGATGATGATGATGATGATGATGATGATGATGATGATGATGATGATGATGATGATGATGATGATGATGATGATGATGATGATGATGATGATGATGATGATGATGGTGATGATGATGATGATGATGATGATGATGATGATCATCATCATCATCATCATCATCATCATCATATTGCGCATCACGTATATGAACGTGGTTGGAGGTGGAAGCTAAGCGGGAGGTTGAAGGACAAAAGATCAGTCCAAACACCATTGTGGTGGACTCCTCTCCGTGTCAGTAAGTATATCCAACTAAACATGTTCCTCGTCCTTCGGACTCCAGATCGATGTTGGGAGACATCAACTGACGCCAACTTCGAAGTACCGGCCTTCATTTCTATTGACTAACTCATTGAGTGGCCGCCCCTCCCCTTATTCCATCAAGACACCAGGCGCGCAAACAATGCACGTCGTGGAAGTCGGTGTGCTGGCATGTGCAACACCTACTCAACCATCGGAGCCTGGTGCGTGAAGTACTGTTGTTCAGCGGTTCATTCTTTCTGCACCAAATGCGCAGCGCCAGACACGCTTATTTATCACTGTGTTCTCACCAGACATGAGCTGAGCTGCGAAGACGTTGATGATCGAACGTACCTAGCTTTTTTTGTCTGTCAACCTGTGATTGGCCAGATTTTTCGAAACCACGCAGGAGGGTTAAACGGACGTCTGCATTATAGACTCTACCTTTATGGCTAGAGTGGCGTCGCGCTGGCGCCACATTTGGCGGAGCTTGGCAAATGCTCCTCGAGTTTTCGTTCTACTATTGGTGAGCTCGTTATCCATTCCACAGGCGTTGATAGCGCTACATAGATACTTGAACTTTTATTCGACTTCTAACTGATCCCCACCAAGAGTCAACGCACGAGTGGGTTCCTGCCAATCTTGGAGGACTTTGCATTTTGTTGCTTCAAAGCATGACTCGAAACGACTGACATCCAGTAATAATTTGTTCAGTGCTACTTAGCACGTTTTGGAACTGTCAACAATCTGGGAAGTATCGTCAGCATGTTCCAGATCAAAAAGTCGATCAACTGGGAGCAACTCCAAACCTTCCAAGTCGTGCCCACTAAAAGCAGTTATCGTGGCCGTCGATAACGATGTTAAAAATGAAAGGCGACAGCGGACAACATTTTCTCACTTCGCTAGAGATATTGGTGAGCGGTGACAGTTTGCCATAAGGCTCCACTCTACACGAACTAAGCTCGTAAAGCGCTCTGATTAGGTCCACGTATCTCTCGGACACACTTTCTTATCTATCAATCCCAAAATGCACATCAATCTACCGAATCGAAGACACCTTTGATGTCGAAGAACACGACTGCGTTGGATCGCCAGTGCATATGGGTGTCTTCGCATTTTGGCTCACATTTGGTGGGAACACCGTTTAATCAATGAGCGTGTTCGGCGTTGTGTATGGTATTTGGTGCAGGAAGAGCGAATGAACCGCTGGGCACCATTATTTCAAGTACTAGACCCTGATGGTTGAGCCACATGCTGCGCATCCCAGCGCACCGATTACCGCGAACTGCGTTGCTAGCGCGATGGGGTGTGGATGGGACAAGTGGAGGAGAAGCCTACGGATACCGCCGTCCAGCGGAATAAAGTCCCTCACTTCGAGCATGGCCTCTGCTAGAACCTCAGCTCCTGAGTTCGGGTACTGTAGACGTAGAACACATTGGATTGGATGCACTTGTCAACATGACCAATAGTCGACCTCAGTGGCGCTTGCGTTGTGAGTTTACTTATCCCTCCCGTCCCACTTATCCCCCTCTCCAACCATGATTTCGTTAATGAATGATACAAAGCACAGCATTATAATGCTGTTTTGTTCTGCCTTGTTGTCGATTTGTCTTTCTTACGTTCCCTTGGCTACATTTTATTGAAGCACGATCGCTGAAGTGCTTCTCACATCTAGCTAATTTGTAGAATAATGATGACGGTAATCGGACGTACCTTGCTGTTCTGCTCGCGGTTGCATATCTGCGTTCATCTTCTGCTTGTACCTTGATAAGGGAACAAACTATCAAGTTCATTTACGCGGGTGCATTCCAAAGGGTTACAGTGTGCATTTACGTAGCATTATTTCACTATTGATCTACATCTGACGCTGTTCACTGTACTATTTGTTGGTCGCATCGTAACAGCGAACACATAGTAGCACATTAAATCTTGCTGTGGATGCGTGAGTTCATGTACAATTATTACGCCTTTTCACCATTTATCCTTTCAGCGCTACATTACCGACTGTCAACTGCGTACACAGGAGACTTAACGGATTTCGGTTTTCTTCTTCCGAACTACCATACGTACACCTTAAGCTCCCCCGTTGAGTTTCTCTTGTCACTTTCTAGACGATGGATGATAAACGTAAGTGGCATCCCTTTTCGCTTGCCCATTATAGCGCGCTTCCTTAATTTTTGTTTCACCAATTAGTTAGGTGTTGGTCGCCCTCGTGAGTACTTTTTACAACCTCACATCCCGTTTTTATTGACTGTTCCTAGGGAGCCTCACTTAACCTTACCTACATTTGTTTGTGTTTGCTTTCAACCTCCCACCGCGAGATTAACGTTGTATTTGCATGTGATTGCCATTTGAGCAGTTATTTGATACTTCAGGCCTACTTTACTACTATCTGGTAACTAACATTCGTGTTTGTGGTAAAGTGGTCTACTTTCGCATTTTGTGCTGAGTTGCCTTCTCGGCAATTTAAGCCAATCGGTTTTCCGTAGCTTTGGATCACCGATTGGGAGTGAGGGTATGAACAGAGCGCTATATTACACACACAAAACCAACAGTTGCATATGGACTGCAATACTGCGAGGCCACTTGCATCTACACAGGCTCGACACGTGGATTCAAGGTTAACGCCCAAGCTGATTTGTCACGTCTCGGGCTCCTTGGAGAATTTCTTTTCACCAACCGGCACATCTCATATTGCTCAATTTTAGCATTACTTTATCAAATTTTACGCACCCTTTATGGACATCGCTACACACTTGCAGTACCCAATTTTACTCTTTATTTTCTTGATGGATCTTAGATTACCAACTTTGTGTTCGGGTTACGATAAGCAATCATTTTAGGATCTCGGCTTACTTTGGAACAAACCTATGCCATTTCGATTATTGGGACCTCATTCAGAGTGTGGGTTCGGTGCTGTTCGCTCCAAACACTGCATGCTACGGTCAGTTTCGTCCCGTTCTGAACTCTTCGCTTAGAGGAATATTTATTAGTTGTTCGTTCCTGTTCATCATCAGAAGGCCGGTGATATACCCATGGTCATTGCATTCAGCCTTCTGTTCAACTTCTTTGTCGTGACCAGACTGTCTGCATTCTACTTTGACTCATAGAGCAAACAAAAACGATATTGTAGAATAACTAGTTTTGTCAGCTAGCTTGATGCTACCCGGTTATCCAGGTCGAAGTAGGGAGTTGTTGTACGGGACACCACTCCGAGTCTATGGTTGAATAGCCTACTTGCAATGCAGCAGAGCGAAGTCAGGGGATCGCGCCCGTTTGGAGCCAGTGACTGCTTTCTCAGTTCAAACGCCTCACATATTTTCTGTTACTAAACAGGGGTTTCATCATCTACACAATTTCCGCGTCATCCTGCTGGAATCCAATGCTCCAGTTGGGCGAAGCATGGGGCAGTGACTTTATTTAGTGGCTAGATACATCCACCTTGTTGTAGTATTATTAAACATCTATTTATGGCTTTGTATGGGAAGAGCTCTAACCAGGCGAAAACCTACCATCTCTTGGAAATCGGGGGCGGAACTGATGGGCACCCATTTCTCTCGATATGATCTATATTGTGGGTCATCTGCGCACCGCCGCTGTCTTGCATTTTGACCCCAGAGCCGATAGCTCTGGCTTCAGTGGCAATATTGTAAATCACATCTGACCATGGCTACCCCATAAACTTCATATTGATTCTATGTCACACAGTCCCAAATATATTGTCCCATCTACCGTATATATCAGGGCGATAAACGATGGCATGCTACTGTTGATATCTTTTCTTTCGGTTTCTCTTCCACTCTTCTCAACCCCCGTCAATATTCCCTTTTCCATAGTCTTAAGCGACAGTAGCTGCGGTACTACCAAACTTCTACTGTCTACATCTGTATCATCACATCACCCATTAGTCTCCTGCTATCGAGGACACCACATTGGGATACGTTATCTTTTGTCAGATAATTTCAGTGTTTGAGGTATAAAGGATCTGGGTCACAGAGTACACTTGCAGTCGCAGCGAATAGCCAAGAATTTGACCTCCACTATGTATCCGAAACTAGGATTCGTCACTCCCTCACCGGAACTTTAATTCAGAATAAGCCACATCGTCCGGATTGTTGAGTAAAGCACTTTTGGGAGCAGTTTGGTTGACCTGCTTCTGAACCGCTTCATATATGAGTAGCACAGGAAGAGCCATGGCAAGTCGACTTAAAGGTTGCAGTTAATCTTAGGTTCGAAAAGCGATCAAATCCTTCAATTATATCTCGTTACTGGTTCGGATCCTCTCATATCGTCACTGTGGAAAGATGGTTGTGAAGGCCTCCGCGAAGAATTGATGCATCTTTTCGAAGAGCTGTGGAGGGAAGAGACAACCCTAGAGACACAGTACTATGCATGAATGGCAGTTGCAATGCCTTTACCAATCGGAAAAGTATCGGTTTTACGTCTGCAGTACCAAAGCAGTTGCCACTGTTCCTATTCGTTATCTTGTTGCGGGGCAGGTATCCCGTTGTTTACCTGGGGTGGAAATGCATAGATCATGTTTTCCACTCTGCATCAGGTGCCCGTGGCCAAGCGTGTCGCACGCTGGCCACTACAGTTTCTCGATTTCAAGAGTCTTGGCTCAGCTGCTAATTTTCTTCTATTCGACATAAGTACCTAAAGTATTCCCATGAGATTTTTGAACAGATTGCTTGTTCTATACAAGAAAACGGGGTTCCGGAGAGTTCACGGCGAATTGCCGGAAGCTTTCCTCATAACTGGTGAATTTCACCAAGGCTGTCCCGTTCACCCACTTCTATTCAGTTTTCTCGTGGACTCGGTCATAGATCATTCTGTATTGAAGTTTCGCAATGCATATTTTGTGGCACACATTTCATAAGATCAGGAGACTATCATCTTATGTGATGTTGTGCTAAAATCATACGCTTTCTAGCCATTGTTGCTTGACAACGGGGAACCGAAAAGCAGTTCATCTGTCTTGACCTGCGCCTCTAATGCGATGAACTTATGACTGCTAAAGTTTATTCACTTGTTATGAAAACTTAGACCCCCTTCACAAATCTGTGACACTTTGGCACCAGAGGGTAATTCCTCTATTCTGCAATATTGTGTTGCCACTAACACAGTATAGAGCTTTTCCGTTTCTAGCGCCTAGGTTCCGTAGCTCCGACCTGGAAATTTCAGATGCTCTTAAGTCTGTGGGTATCGAGTAGCATCATAGTGTCAACCTGGATGAGGTGTACTGACGAGCACTAGGCGGCGATTGTTATGTTAGTCCCGTAATCTAAAGGTAACAAGCATGTCTTGTAATCTGACGGCGGGGGTTCGAGTCTTCGTAGGGGGAGGGCGACCGTCTCAGTATCCTTAGCCCACGTGCGACCGGTGGTGGCTGCACGGCAGCGAAGCGTCGGTACTGCGTACTGGCTTACTGCTGATGCCTTTCCGATGCTCGTGTAAAGCTGTATAAGTTGTGTTCCTTCAGGTATTTACTACAAACGCCAGCCCACCATGTATTAGAGGTCTTATTTTATTGGTCTGGTCTAGGGTGCAAGACGATTTGACACTGCGACTTTACGGGAAATCATTTTACTACTGATCAATGGGAGTACTGGTGATTCGCCTCACCCCAAGCGATCCCCTCTGAGCTTCGCTATAAGCCTTGCAGGATATGTCTCGATATTGGTAGTATCGGCACCTATTTTAAGTGTCTCCTGCTAAGATATCGGTGGTTTGACGTAGCATTACGAATAGCAAACAGCCTATTCGGATCGCTTTGTTTTCCCTGTCAGCTAGGTCACCGGAAAACACTTGGCGTATTGTTGTCAAACTTCTCGACATCAGAAAGATTGGGCATCATCTGCTGATGTTGAAACACAACAAGTCTCACTGATCCCAGAAACTTGTTGCCAAAAGTCAGTAACATTTCGCTAATAGTTTGTATAAACCGCTACCCTTGGCAATGAAATATGTGCATAGAAAGTGTTTCCAAACTGGCGGTTGTCAATCATCATCCCTATATATAAAAATGGGGTGTAGTACAGCCTGTTAAAGCTATCATGTTTGCTCCGCTGTTTCCAACTTATCCCCGTGTTTTCTATTGTGCTGATACTGGTTCTCGCGGGTATTCAGTCGCGAAAGCCATTTCAGCTTTCTCTTTGACATTATCGGTCCATCCCAGTTGATGGAATTTGACTGGAACGTCACTGTGCGATTGATCCCGTTCTTATGGCCCACATTATCACAAATTGACAATAAAAATAATAAAATACTGGGAAACTGAAAGGTACATAACATAGCATGTTGATCAAAATTCGACAAAAAAAGGGTAAAGGTGAATTGTTTCAGCTCTGAAGGGTAAGATTAACAACCAGAGGTAACATGGATGCTTTGCGACTGAGCCCTGCCGTAACTTTTAGTTAAAACATCGTACTGCTTATCCCGACCTCTGTTGCAATAGTGCCAAGCGATTCCACAAAATTTACACACTACCGCTCGAGCGACGCTGGACGCATTTCCTGCTCCCAACGCAGTAGATACAGGGCGAGCGCAGCGGGTACGGAGCTGAATATATTCTTTTTTGATCTCGCTCCCCGACGTAGTGAGTCATTCACCTCTACAATCGCAGCGACGTCCTGGTCTGTACTCGCCTTTGCTTAGTCGTAACAAGCATTTTGCAATGGCCTGGCTTCTTCCTCTCTTGCGCGCGGGACTAGGGGATGTGTGAGTCAGTCAGTCGGCATAGTCTTTGTGCCTCAGTTAATTAGTCGGAGAATTTGGGTGTGTGCGACTAATTAGGCTAAGTTACCATAGATGTTGCAATCTGTTTGTCTGTCTACACTACACGCGGGGCACATTTCGCGAGAGCAATTTGTGCATCGATTAGGATTACGTACGATCGAAGCTTGGTGCGTCGCATCACCGAACTAGGTCAGCTTGGATACTGGCAACCAATCCGGAACAGGGGCAACAAATCTATTACCGATCTACGGCGACGTCAGAACAATCCATTCAGAGCGGGTGCAACTGCGACCAAGCTCTTCGGTCACTTTCTTCGGACAAAAGATGCACACTCTGGAGATCAAGCACGTGACGTAGCCAACGTAGATGAAGTGTCCGAAAGCAGTCCG